GGTTCGAACTTGTTTTGCAATAGTCCTTTCGTCTTCTTTATTCATTCCATGCTTTCAGTTTTTATACCGTTCCTTATTTCGTCTACGATACTTCAGAAGTACTTAAAAATGAGGATGGGCGTTTTATCAGTTGCCTGAATATAATTGCTGTGATCTATTTATTACGTATGCATCTTCAATGTCTGATAAAAAGTCCTACTGAAACTTATTCCCAGCTAGATAAAATGACTTGAGTGATTACTGAAATTTTCTGTTGTTTTTCGATTACTACTACCTCAAACCTGCATAATAAAATCTATATACGCCATCATTCACGATGAAGATCAACACGAAGCAATCCTGATAGAAGTCAACATTAGGTCAGGATAGGTTGATATGAGTCGAGACTAAAAGGTAGTAAAATATGTCTCCCGATTTTCAGATTTTTCGATTACTGAGCGACAGATTCATCAAAAATCGGCATGCCAGATTCTCACAGTTAAAGTCCCAGAATATGAATTTTGTGACAGAATCAACAAAACAGAAAACAAGATTATTTGGGATATTATATATAGTTGATATCACCTCTGATTTATTGATTGAATGATTATATGTTTGTTCATTCATATCGTTTTGATATGTGCAGATGTGGAAATGGTAACATCTGGATTCACATTTCATACCTCTTATAATAATAAGCCGGGATCACCATATGTTATTCATGAAACAGTTGATTGGTATGTTGGTTTACCAGTTAATATATGTTACTATTTCAACATCTGCACATATCAATTAATGAATAAAAAAGATATGAATGAACATACATATATATATAAGTCAATCAATCCATCAATATATCACAGAGGTAATATCAACCATATATAACAGCACTTTAGAATTTAAAAGATCAGAAGACTAAATGTCCTGTTGCAGACATTACTGGAAGATCCAACAACAAATTATAACACACATCCAGTTCGCGGAAGTATCATTTTCGTAAAAGTCATCTTTAATGAGAAGTGCAGAAGGTGTGTATCTTTTGTCATTCTTTAAAAGCTATCATGATGTGATATAGAAATTTCGGTACACTCTAGCAAGTTTACATTCATATTCAAATTTAAATTTAAAACAGGTTGAAAATAGATCATGAGACACATTTTAGCGCAATATTATTTTGTGGCTGTTCTTTAGGATTCCAATTTATTAGAGCGAAAAAAAGCAGACGATTCCATTTAATTAGTGACAAAAAAGTTAAGATGCATGCAATATCATAGTGAATTCGACTGTGCAAATTTGACAAGTATGATGAAAAGAAACATTAAGGTTTCTTGCAGATTCACGTTTTATACCTCTTCCAATAATAAGCCCGCATCACCATATGTTATTTATGAAACAGTTGAAAGGTATGTTTGGTTCACCAGTGAATATATGATACCGTTTCAACATCTACAAATATCAATAAATGAATAAAAAAGATATGAATATATAGAAATCAAGCAACAATCAGTACCCTACAGAGATTATTCTTCTTCATTATTGATTCTCGCGCTGGGTTGTATTCTGGCATTCTCGCTGCACTCGCTTACACACTCACTTCTGTCGTGCTTATCTCCGCTGCTTCATCCTTGTCGAATCCACGGCGCTGATCGAATGAGATGCTTTCAAGCATTTTCTTGAGCACTGTCGACTGGATATATGCCTCAACGTGATCGTACACACTGATTCCTTTGCGTAACAAATGTGGAATACTATCCTTTCCAAAGTTATCACATGCAGAGTCATTTTTTTTTTCATCTCTGTCTCGAGTTTATTAGCCAGTATATCATACTTTTGCTTCTCAGTCTCGAGTGCAACCTATCAGGTGATGCCAACCTATATCAGGATTACTTCATATCTTTTCTTATTGTGTACCAACATGTCTGGTCGATTCGCTTTTATTCTAACGCAAATCTTACTTGCAGGTCGACTCTGATTTCAAAGTTCTCGTTAGCGACGGTTTTCTGAATGGAGTGACATTGTATGCTTGTAAATGCTTTCAGACCGTACTTTTTTTTTAAAAAAAATGCATTGCATGACGTCATTTTGCCGTCCAGTCACTTGAAATATAGCATAATCTTACATTGCTAGTGATCCACCGTGTCCACGCGCTCCCTGCAATGCTGGCACATACCTTTTTCAGCTTCAAACATATTGCTATTTTGGTGGCTACTGTACCGTGCTTCGTGTGCTTGCCTTCCACTAAGATGACTTTTTATTTCATTTTGGTACATTTTGAAAACTTTATTGCGTTGCTTGCAGCTGTCATGCGCGATCTGTTATCCCGATGGAGGATTTTGTGTGTCATACCGCCTGGTTACGAGTATGAGTGAGTCAACGTTTTGTATGATTTTTCGCATTAATTATATCTGATTCTTGAAACGTATTTGTTCCTGCATCAGTTCAAGGTACGTTTAGATATTCCTTGGACTCCTGTGGCGCAATTTGCTCGATATATTTCAATTAAACATATGCGCTGTGCCGTATATCATTTCTTTTCGAACCTTCGAGTACCATATCGTACCCAAACAATCTCTGATTTCATCGGTCTAACAAGTGGTTTTTCGGTCACATCTCCACTGATCCGTTTTTTAAGCAGCTCAAAACGGACACTTTCGATTTTGAGTACACATCGATACATAAGTCTTAAAATTTTGATTTCACAAACTCTCACACGTTCTCTGAGAGCCTGCTTAACTATCTCATCGCAAGGATCATGTTTTTGCTTAGATTTTTCTCTGCTTCGATTTTTTTAGTCAATAAATTTTATCTCAGTCCCCTCTAAGTTCAAATAGTCTTGATCACTATTGGCAGCCTTCGGGAATACATCATATTGCTTCTTATCACAAATCAGTATTTCTAATTCATCTTTTTTTTGAAGGCCATCTTTCTTCACGTGTCGACGCTCATTTTCATTCTTACGGGCACGATGATTTTTTCATTCATGGGGCCGTTTTGAAGCCAAACTTCTCTCTAAGTCCAAATTTTTATTATTCACTTTCACATGCTGCCTTCAGCTGCTTTGAAAATGGCCGTCAGTAACTCTCTCGCATTTAATTATAATATCAGGGAAACTCTGAAAGTTCTCGGTCATGTAATCCATGATGAGTTGAAATGATCTTGAATTTGTCTCCAAGAATAATGTTCATTTTTCTACATTAAGTGAACATCTCAACAGGTACGTGCTTAGAACGTATAGCCGCAATACCTATAACACTATAAAGAGCTCAATTGTTGCTTTGCAATTAGTCTTCTCGTTTCAACATTCACTTGTCTGATCTCTGATATTCTGCTAACAACTCATGAAGGTTGGACATGATTTTGATCTGAATCCTCCACGTTTGCTAAGAGCATTTTTCTGAATCTGTTATTTGTAGTTTTTATCAAACCGATTTTTTAATAATTCAACTACTTGATAAAAAATTTATGGTCTTCAGATTCTCTCCCTTTCGTTCTCAACAAATAGGCAGCTATTGTTCCAAATCAGGTCCGAAGTGAGAGAGAGCACACTTCTTAATCTGGACAAAATCTTACTGGAAATATTTTATGCTTGATAGCATCATTTTTTCCCATTGTCGACTCCGACGTTGCATCACAGAATTCTCTGTTTTGAGCCATACACTGCTGCTAACAAGCAGTTACTGTAC